CAAGTATAACTGATGGGATAGCTATATTTCTATAAGAAAAAATGAGATTCAGCTTAAATATTATTTTGTCATTTGCTTTAATGAATCTGAAGAAAAACATGTATCAAAAATTAATGACTATTTGGTTGATAAGCCTACTGGTGGTAGTAGTTAATTTTTTATTATTCTGGTCCTTGTCAGCCTCCCTTGGCTAGCCCTGCACTTGCCATAATTCCACACCACTTACTTGTTCTTGTTAACGAGGGCCTATTATATGGAGAAGACTTTTGGTAGGATCTGAGAAATACAAGGATAAATAAATCTAGGTGCTTGGCCTCCACAAGCTTCCAGTCTAAGAAGGGCAATAAGATGCAGATACCAATAACTATAACAACTAATAGTGCATAGGGAGTGCTAGGAGGGATTCAAGGAAAACCTTGGAACTTAGACGACGAGGAAAGACTTCCTGGAATGGGAGGCAGCTTGAAGGACTGAATAAGTTTAAAAAAAAAAGTAATTTATTATGAATTCATTTTAAAATAACATAACAGATTACATATATAAGTATTTGAATATTAAAAACTTCAAATCAGTAATTCACCTCTTTGTAGTATTTTAAGATTTTTTTAAAAATTAAATTTATTTGTATTTTGCTAGCCCTGCGAAAAAAAAAAAAGGAGGGCTGAAGCTTGTAAATATGCATTGAGGTGAAACTAATCTATATGTTGCCCATGTCTGAAAACACACATGTCATTTCTGCACCTTAAGACTATCACGTTTCTGGTAGAAGGCAGGGAAACACTTCACCTTTGGTTCTCAGGAGGTGTTGCTCGTCACTGGGGAAATCTCTTGTCTTTTGGCTATTTTTTTCTTTGCAATGCTGCTGTTACTGAATAAATCTTTCTTCTGGTTCTGTTTACTCTGCATCAGTCACTGAGTCTTCTCTTTGCTATTGTCCCATGACATTTGTAGACCATTCCCCAATGAATGGAGGCCTCCTTAGTTCCACTTCTCTGTGACAACAAAACCTGGTCTTTTTCCTCTCTCTTTTATCTGTTTGAAGTATCGACCTAACAGTGGTATGGCTGGACCAAAAGGTACGCAGGTCAGTGATGTTTCAGACACAGTTTCAAATTGCTTTCCAGACAGGCCAGACTAATCTCTGGTTCCATCCATGGTACATTGTGGGCCCATCTTCCTGAAGCCACTTTTTAGTTATCATCTCTTCCAATCTCATGGGCATAAGGTGAAATCTCAGTATTGTTTTAATTTGCATTCCTTTAATTATTAGTGATTTGGAATACTTTGTCAAGTAGCTGGCCATAGCTTAGATTTTTTTCTCTTGAGAATTACCTATTCATATCCTCTGATAATTTATCTACATAAGAATGGCTCTTATTCATACCGTGTGCGTGTGTGTGTGTGTGTGTGTGTGTGTGTGTGTGTGTGTGTGAATAAATTCCTTATGTATCTTGGATATGAGATTTTTATCAGAGAAATTTGCAGCAAATTTTTTTAAGTTAACTATTTCCCTTTTCAATCAATCAATTAATCAATTAACATTTATTAATTCCTACTATGTTTGAGGCACTGTGCAAGATGCTGGGAGTACAAAAAGAGACAAAAGACAGTCCCTTGCCTTCAAGGAGCTTACAATCTCATGGGAGAGACAACATTCAGATAAATATAAACAAAGCAAGCTATACACAGGATAAACATGAAATAATTCAGAGAGAAGGCATTAGAGGTTGGGAAGGCTTCCAGCAAAAGATGGGATTTTAGTTAGTACTTAAAGGAAGCCAGGGACGTCAGCTGGCCAAGTAGAGAAGGGAGAGCATTCCAGACGTGGAGGATAGCCAGAAAAAATGCCTGGAGCCGGAGCTGAGAGGAGTGTCTTGTTCATGGAACAACCAGGGGGCCAGGGTCACTAACTAAAGAGTAAGTAGAAGAAGCCTGGAAAGGTAGGAGAGGGCCACATCATGAAGGGCTTCGAATGCCAAACCAGAGACAATAGGGAGCCACTGGAGTTTACTGAGGAAGGGAGTGGTGTGGTTTTGGGTCTGGTGCTGGATTCAGGTGCTAGCAGCCATCTGGCAAGCCTGGAAGCCTGCAGGCTTCCCGCCCTGGTGACTCCATTGCAGACTTCAGACTGGGCTTGGAGTGAGAACCAAGCCCCTGCTCTGCTCCTGGGGTCTGAGCCGCACATCTGCCCCTGCTTCTTGCTGCTAGACGTGTCCTTCTCTAGGGCTTGAGCCTGCAGGCCCCCTCCTCATTCTGTAGTGATAGAGGAGCTGCCAGTTGGCATCTGCTCCGCACCCTGTACCTTCAGGTCGCTCTGAGCTTGATCTGGGTTTTCTTGGATCCCTTTCAGGAAGCCTCTTCCTGCACTGGAGTGCTCAGTCCCCAGGGTCAACAGACTTCTCTGTTTGTCTCCTTATGTTGACCCAGGCTCGAAAAATGACCCACTTGGATATTTTTCTTGGATTTCCCTTCCAGGATTTGGTTTGGTACATTTTCTAGACCTGTTTGGGAGAATTTTTTTGGGGGGTGGGAAGTTCTCTGTACATCTTTCTCTTGCTGTGAGCCTGTATGACCAGGAGGATGATAGTAACCTGGAAAGAAATAAGGCGGTGCAGAAGAGGGGAGGATTCTTGGTACGAGAATGAATTCTGTTTTGGCCACGCTGAGTTTGAGATGCTTATGGGCTCTCTGGGAAGCCTACTTCATCTGGGGCTCTTGCACCATTCCTGGCTGTCTTCTTCTCAGATCTTCCCTGTTCTGTTTTGGGGATGTCAATTACCATCTCAGAGTCTCTTCCTCATCTCCCCTGCCTTCTCCCTTTGTTCTCCTGGCCTTGGGCAGACATCTTCAGTTAAGTCAAATAGCTCTCCCTTAAACATGCCAAATAAAGACTTACTGCTTTTAGCATCAAATGGCCAGTCTTATTCCATGAAGCCCCAAAGGCCTTTTTAATGGAATGGAACCAAGTGAAAGGTTGAGAGCTTTGTTCAAAATGCACAATGGTTGCTTACTCAATTTACAAAATGTAAAATGGCTGTTTAAACAAATTTACCAAGGCCCTCTTACAATCTAGCCTTAATCTACCTTTAATAACTGATAGAGGACTTTACAAAGCACTTTCTGACAGCCCTATGAGTTAGATAGTTCAAACGAGTACATTGTTCTCATTTTACTCGTGAGTACTCTGATGCATCAGAGACAGGACTCCAACCTAGGTCTTTCTAATTCCAAGTCCATTGGTCTCCCCACTACACCTCGATGCCTTTCCCTTCTTATCTCCTGCTGCTCTTTACAGAAACACTATCCTTTGGCCAAACCGGACTGCATACCATTCCCTGGACATGCCTCACACATTCCTACCTTTGGACTTTGCTCTAGTCTTCTTTCTCCCAGGGATGCCACCATCTTATTCGGCTGAAATTTCACAAATCTTCAAGGCTTGGCTCAGCTCCAATGCCATGTCCTCCATGTAGAGGGCGCCCTCGTGCTCAGTTTGGAATTAATGATTCTCTCTTTTGTACTTTGATAGTGGTTAGTTGTACTGAACAAGTTCTGCCTTATGACATTTTTTTGAGGAACTGTCTCAGTCCCTCTAGTAGACTATAAGCACCTTGAGGTCAGAGACTTTGACTTTTTCACCTCTGCATCTTCCAAAGTGTCTACCACGGGGCCCAGCACACCCTCAGTAAATGTTCAACTGAATTACAATGTGTAACACTCTCCCTGCACATGCAGCCAGTTGGGTAGAGATGTGGGGAATAAATTTAACGAGACGAAGCTCCTGAGGGAAAGACCATGGGGGGAAAGGTCACAAAGAGGTAAATGGCAGTACAGTAAGATAGATGGTTTGAGATCTAAAGGTTATAGGCACCATAACAAGGGAAAGAGGTCAGTATGAATAACTTAAGTGAAAAAGGTCACTGGCAGAAAGGAATCTACTGAATGAAACAAGCAGGCCTAAGAAAGCCCCGCAAAATCAGGGGAAACGAACGCTATGACCACAAATGTAGGGGAGAGGGCCCGAGTCCACCTGACGCTGGGCTCATAAAAGAAAACACGCTTGATGCATGCCAAGGGTCAGAGGTCGATACAGAAAGGCAAAATAGTAGAAGGAGGATAGGGAAGATAATTGATTATCACCTCGCTGGAAAATTAAATGTATTCTGTGGTCAGTGCTCACAAGAGAAGGGGGACAGGGACACATTTCCCTATGAAAGACTAATGTCAGAGAGAGCTCAAGGTTGCTCCTAACAGGTGACCTAAGGAGGATCCTGTGACGTCCAGCCACAACCCAGAGCCAAATGTCATCTGCTGAAAAAGACTGGCTGTGTCAGCAGTTTGACTTGGAAAGACAAGCATTTCTTGGGATGGGTAAAGGACACTATAAAACTTACGTGAAAACAGAGAGCTAAGATATTTTAAATTGTAACATGGTCTGAGCCTGTGATTTTATTGGTGTAAAAAGTTTCCCAGTGAGGAAACTGTCTCTAAGGACACAGATCAGTGACTGTCCTGTAAATGACTGTCTTAGAGTGGTCTGAATCACTGAAGTGTGAAGTGACTTGCCCAGGGTCACAGAGCCAGCATGTGTCTGAGGCAGGCCTTGAACCCAGAGCTTCCTAACTCAGATGTCAGTTTTCTATTCATTACACCACACTGTCTCTCAGATCAACATCTGCTTCTGTTCAAAGCAGCATTTATTATTATTGTTATTAAGGATAATAACAGTGAACATTTCTATGGTACTCACAATGGGCCAGGAACCATACTAAATGCTTTACAATTTGTATCTCCCTTGATCCTCACAACAACAGTGCTGTTATTATCCCCATTTTACAGATGAGGAAACTGAAGTTATATTTTTACTCAGCAGTTCCCAAGCAGGAATGTGGGCAAATGGATGAGCAACATTTCTGATGATATAGTCTTTGGAATTTTATATTCTGTTTGTTCTAGATTTTTCAGAAATGGCGCTCATAGAAAGAAGTCTCACAGCTTACCTGATGAGATCCTGAACCCGGCTGTTAAAAGCATCAACTGGGGAGGGCTTGTTTTTCATTTCCTGAGCTGACATTTTGGTTGCAGTAAGGCGGCTGTTTCCATCTGGCATACTGGAGATCAAGCAGCCAAAAACCACAGCACTAACTCTGAGAAGTCCAGTTGTCAAACCTTCAAACACGTGTTTATTGGCATTTCTCCCCAAAACAGCATTATTCTCATCTGGAACATAAACCTAAAGAAATACGATTAATACCTTTTAATAAAAAATTTTTAAAGGAACTGAAATTATTCTGACAATTTAATAAATCTTTAGGAAATTTCATAGACTGAAATCTAAAATGCACAAAAACAGCTCTTAATATACAATAATAATGAAATCAGAAAACTATTTGGGCTAATTCATGGTTCTGAATTATGTTAGCACAACATACTCCTCTATTAGAATGAATTTTGAAATTCACATGTACTATGCAAAACCAAAACAAATATGATTAGTGACTTTAACACCCTCCTAGACAAACAAGTGAATCTCAACCCTAAATTTTAAGAGTTTTGAGTTTCCCTTGACTCTCCTCTAGATTACTGACTAAAAGCAGAAAAAGACAATTTATGTAAACGGTATATCTGGCTGCCCCAGAGATTTTGGGATCAAGTTTGGTGACTTTATCCTTCTATCCCTCTGTGCTTGGTAAGTCCTCCTCACTCCTGTTTAATTGTTAGATTCCTACCAATTTTAAAGACCAATTCAAATGCCACCTCCTCCAGGAAGTCTTTCCTGAGATCCTCAATGAGTCATGACTTTTCTCTCCATATGCCTCAGAAAGTCCTTGGGATTTCTCTTAGTCACTTTTCATTTTGTTTGAAAGTTATCTGTGTGCAGTGAGGAAGCCACAGTGGGCTGGTTTCCCCCAAGATGGGCACTTGGGAGCAGCCAACCCTGCTCCCTTCCCAGAGCAGCCTCCGAGGGAATGGAAAGACCAATGGAGAAGGAGTGTGTAAGTCCCTCCGAAGCCCAAGGGGAGGTGCTGGAGTGACAGGCTCAGGACCCACCTGCTGGAGGAGGAACACGGAGAACAGGGACAGCTCCTAAGACCCAACTGTGAGTAGAGACGAGACACAGCCTTGTGTGAGCCTTCATTCCTGTCTAGATCCCAGAATAGACCCTTTGTGTGAAGGGCAGGGCTGGCTGGTGGTCTTCTAGCCTGTAACCCTAGCAGCTGTTCTCTGAGGGCCAGCTGCTGGAGAGAGGGAAGAGGAGAGCACCCTCAATTAGAGAAAGGGTAACCTGCAGGGTGCTGGCTGGGGTGAGGGAGGCCATCCCTGGCGAGGATGAGGGGTATGTTGTAGTGGGGTGTCATTGACAGGGAACAGGGTGACAAGTGGAGTGCTAATGGTGAAAGAGCAATACAGTACAGAGGGGTTTCCTAGGTGAGCACTGATCTCCAAGCACAGATTCCAGGTTTCTGCTCTTAGGTGGCCCTTCTCAGGCAGTTCTGTAAGTCATGGAGACCCTCTAGGCCTCTGAGGAAGGAGTGACCATTGGGGAAGGTCCACCCACTCCTGCAGATGGGTGTCCTTTAATTTGTAGATAAACTTGTTCGGTACTCAGCTCTCTCAGGGAGTGGTGCTCTCTACTGGGTTTTAATGGTTCCGTTGCATACTTGGCCTTTACAATTCTGGAGCAGGGCTACCGTCAGAGCCACTGATCTGCAAACATACCTCTTTAACCTCAAGTAAATATCGCCTACTTTCTATTCCTGACCCCATTCACCCCCTGGGTGTCACCTTGGGGCCAATCTTGTACATGCTCTTAAGTAAGGTAATGATGGTGAGAGTCTTGAGGCCATCATGAAACTGCTTGGGCATTAAAGGAGGCAGGGATGTTGTTTTTGTTTTAAACTGCCTTGACAAGTTCTGAATTCACCAGGACATGGTGGTACAGTGGAAAGAATACTGGATTTGGAACTGGAAGACCAGCGTTCAAACGCCGGCTTGGAAAAGTAGCTGTGTGACCTTCCATGAGCCACATGCTTTCTCTGGGCCTCAGTTTCCTCATCTGCAAGATGAGGGAGTTGGTCCAGATGATCTCTGCTTCCCACTCTAACCCAAAGATCCCCTGTTTCTACCACCAGTATAGCCTCCTTGATCACAGTCTTGATCAGCTTTAAGGACACTGACTCTGTTAGAAAATCTTTTCAATTTTCTAGAATTGAGGACAAATTGAAAGCGCTAATTTCTTTAGGATAATCAAGGGACAGAACCTTCGGACTTATCAAGGGAAGTGAATTGGGTTTGTTAATTCCCAGCTAATAGGAGAGAGGTAAGACTTTTATTATTGCTTAAATAGAAGGAAAACACTGGTAAGAGAAGCACAGACAAACTACCAGAGGCGGCCCACCTTGGGAATGTGCAGGATGGAGAGGAGGGCATGCCATGAAGGGAGGAAGTAACCCAAAGAAACAAACAGTAAGCAAGGGGTGGTCATGACAACAGGAACAGATGGTGGGAGCCGGTTCCCTGCTTTGGGTTTTGACTAAAACTTTATGTTTGGCCAGAGCTGCGGCAGAAGGAGCCAAGGAGCTAATACCAATGGACACTGTTTATGCAGATGTAGCTGATACTGCCTCAGCTGATGACAAGAAGAATGGTTCCGGTTTAACCAACAGTTGCTACAGTTATTGCAGAAAACATGGCTGTGCTCCTGAGTCTCAACAAATGATTTAAGCAGATCAGAAATGGGAAGTCCTAGAGCCAGGCTTCTTGGAGAGAGGGCAGGCTCTTCAAAGCACACAATTACTGTGGGGCGAGGGACTTGGAGGCTATATCTAGTAGTTCTAGAAAACTAATCCAAATGCCCCAAGATAAAATGAGAGAAGCCCTTTCAGAAAATTTCACCTTGTGAATGATGACGAATTAGATACCAGAGGAGCTTCAGAGGCAACACCAGGTAGGGGAGAGAATACTGGGCTGAGCCTCTTGAAATCTACCTAGGTTTGAATCCCAGAAAGCCTCTCATGTCAACTTTGGACACGTCACTACAAATTAACGTTGCACACGTGGACACATCGCTTCTTGACAATCCTTTTATTCTATCCACATGGATTGCCTATCTAACTTCTAACAGCATATGTTCCAAAAGCTGCTCCTCTCTTCATCTCCCTGTACCCACACTTAACAACAGATGACCCAAAAGGGTAACATGTGAGCTCCCTCAGCAGCCCTCCCCAGCTCCTCAAACTTTTTCGTTATCATCCTCTGACCGCTATTCTTCATTAGGGCTAATTTCTACAGCTGGATCATATGGTCAAAAAGATGACTGAAGGAGCGGTTTTCTGTTAACTGCTCCCATTTCCAAATCTCAAAAGAAAGGAACCACGTATCAACTATGGCGTAATTACAGTTAAATTCACAGAGAAGAAGACAGAACCCCTCCCTTAAGGCAGAACTTGTTAATACCTAGGCTCCCAATCAATGTCCCTATTCCCAAACACTCTGCATGCTCAGCGTAATGACTTGATAAGCCAACTAAAGGGTCAGCTGTAGGGCTCTGGAATGTTCAGTCTGAAGCCACTGGAGCCCAGAAGGGGCAGCGGATGTTAACTCTTTCCAGTCACACGAAGGAAAAGGACAGTGACTGCAAGATAAAACATTTAGGAGGAGAGTTGGGCGTGATGAAAGATGGAGACAACACGGAAGATGTGCAAATGATCAGAGGAAAAGGAAGACTGGACCTGAAACAAAGGAGCCTATCGATCCAGGGCTCTCCTCGTCCCAAGAGGCCACAGAGAAAAGACCTGGCCAACTCCCATGACCCTGAACACAAGAAGCCAAAGCTGTCCAGCAATCGAGCCAGAGGGGAGGGGTGGTCTGTGCCACAGAGGGATCAAAGAAGGAGGGAAAACAAAACAAAAACAGAAGACTAAAAAGCCTGAATAAAAATTGACATCACAAGCAGATAATTCAATAGAGAGGATCATAAAAACACAGCAAAGAATGAAAGAGACACAGGATACGAAGGAAAATGAAACAACACATCCAGCGAGAGAGGACACAACAAGAAGCAACCGGGCTAATTTGTCTCCAAGGATAATGATGATGATGATGATGATGATGTCCTGGAGGCCACTGCCTCTGGCCTCTGCCAGCAGCTCGTCACAGTGCTCTTCCTTTCGGCACACCTCTCTCTCCCTGGACTCTCCCAACTTCCTACACTCTCAGGTCTCTCCACACATAGAAGAACTTTCCCTCGATGTTTCTTAGCGCATTCAGCTTTCACTTCATCTTGATTGTCCCCTTCAAAGCTTCACTGCTGGTAAAAGCTATCTACAATTGATGGGTCTGTTTCCTTATTACCACTCTGCTACAAATGACTTTCTCCCCAGTTTTCTATTATAATCACTCTCAAATGACCTTTCTGAAGATTCTGACACTAATGACCATTCCTACTACTTAATGAACACTCTCCTCCTTCAGCTTCAGAGACATCACACTTTGGTTCCCATCCTGACTCTGTTCCTCTTGTCTCCTCAGCCTCAAATGTTTGTATTTGGCCTTTTTCTTCTTCTGTCTTTTCCATTTGGTAATAACTTCCCTCCTTGCATCTCCTGTAGCAATTTGTTTTACAACTTCTAATCTCATAATATTGTGTATTATACTTTTGTTTGCCTTATTCCCTGCTGGAACATAAGCTCTGAGTCATCTAGAATCTTCTCATCTCCCATTTCTACCCCAGAGCTTCACACACAGTAGTTGATTAATAATGTTTGCTAAAATAAGCAAAGACCTTTTACATCTCTGGGCCCCAATTTCTAGTATCAAGATTTCTTTTACCTCTAACATTTTATGCTTTGTAAGTACAGATAATTCTTGACCAAGTGAAATCTTAGCATTCCACCATATCCTGAAGCCATCACTCATCACCAGAAAGCATGCCCTGAATTTCTCTATTAGTGAATTAACTGGGTTCTTGGAGGACCACTGATGTCGGTTACCTGTGGGGAGACTCTGTGGTGACTTGTCTGACAACATTTATTAGTGACTGTGCTTTGCCTTCCCTTTATCAATGTGGATGACTAAGAATCAACTTCAGTTCAATGACCAGAAGCACATGTTGATCCTACCTGGTCTGCTACACCATGAAGACTAAAAGACTCTATGCTTGAACATAAATATGCCCAGAAGAGTAAAAACCAAAGCGTACAGGACGGATGTAGACTATGTAGGGGCTTGGGA